TGTGGTCCAATTATTTTTCTTTCGCGGGCCGCCTATTTTCGACCACTGCACTAGACGTTTTTCCGCTGATATGATTAATTTAAACGTATACCTATTTAAATGTGGGTATTTACAGCGTTATATTGCGTGTGGTTTTTATATCCGTGTTTTTTAGTTTATTGGTAGGTACGAATGGTACGATCTGTACGTAGATCGTTCGTCTTTTATACACTTGTATAACTCGGAATGGTTTTTTTTTTATGGTAGGTAGAAGGTACATATTATATACCATTGTAAATTAAGTTTTTGAACGAGAGTGGAAAATGTGTATAATTTATGGTTCATAAAGGAATATAGAATTAAATGACAAAATCAATTTTGACGTTAATGAAATAGGCATATCATTTATTTCGGATCACAGTGGAGTGTTTTGTTCTAGTCGAAAAATAATAATTGTAACTCTGTATGTTATACCTAGGTACCTACCAACATTTGTGTATAGACATCAACGAATCAGAAATATATATCATTTTGTTATACGATTAAGCTTATATCGCGATGGACGACGATGTAATAATAAAATCACTTCAATTGTTTTATAAATAAAATTATCAGTCTTAATGTTATTTATTGAAAATGTATATTGATACTTTAAATAATATATTTAATTACTGTTATAGAATATTAACATCATATAAAGTAAATTTTAACAAACTAAAATCTTTATTTTTCTAACCATATTTTAAGAACCAAATGATTTCATTTGGTTTCATCAAAACCCAATTTTTACGAGTAAATGTAAATACCTATCTGTTTTATGGCATGATGTTTATAAAATATTTATACCTAACTAATAAATTCGAACTTGTCGTCCATCTAAATGTAGTGGTGTTTTTCTTATCAGTTATACAATTAATCATGAATTATAGGTAAATGCGTAAATGTAAGAAAAAAGGAAGATATTGTTATTAATTATTTCTTACCTATTATTAATAAATAATAAGACGTTATAACCGAACATTAATATTTTATTTTTGTACAATAATAATTATGACGGTATCAAACATTATTAGCGGACCTTTACAAGTAATAAATGAATATATATTATGTTACTAATGAATTCTATTTTATTTATGTTCATATCGGACTAAAATAAACAATTTCTTAAAATAGAATGTTAGTTGTGTAAAAAGTGTTGCTATGTGCAAAAATAATAGTATTACATGTATGTGTAATATAATATATCTAATTAAAATAAATAAATAAATAAATAAGCTAAAACAAAAAATTACAATATTACTTATAATGACAATTATATTACAATAAATAAAATATTGACTACTAAGACAATGTAATTTATTATAATTGGATCCATGGGCGGATCTAGAGGGGGCCACTGGTGGCAAGTGCCACCCCCGTTGGAAAAAAAAATAAAAATTTTAGTATCGAATTTTTTTTTTTGTGAGGAGATATATCTATATTAAAATTTTTCCTATAAAGTGCCCCAACCATAAATACATGCTGGATCCGCTCTTGATTGGATCTAATATGTGTTTAAAATGTTTAAATATCTAAAATGTACATAACATACGATGGTAATTTATGCTTTACAGTTTACATTTTATCATTTATCAATAGTTTTAAATATGTTTAAATACATACCTATTATCTAGGTAATACTTTAAATGCTATTAGATTTTGGCTTATGCTAGACTGCTGAGTAAGATACAATCATAACTCTAATTAATTTTCATTAACCTTGCAGTTATTAGTAACGTATTTCACAATATTCTCAATAAATAAATTTAAACTATAGTTCAAAATCATTATTTCATCATTTATTTTATTGAAACTTAAGTATTTTACTTGTACAAAACCCATTTCAAAAGTTTAAAATCTAAATTGCTACAACTTGACCTTAATTATAGTTATAAGTATATTTTATATAAGTAAAAAAAATATAAATAAACGAGTTCAATATTCTATCACTATAAACTAATATATTCCACGTTTCGGTCTTACATGTTGCTCCCTCTTTCACTCAAATGTTATTGTATCGTGTATAAACCCTGTAATTAGTTGAAGACCGAGAAGGGAAGTTGGCCAAATTTTGTATGATAATATAAAAAAAAAAACTTTAAAAAAAATATTTAGTAACTCACAAATTGTAAATTTTATTCCTTTCGATGTATACACTGCATTAAATAGAAAAACATGTTTATTTATCATCGGCATTCGTCTATTGATTAAAATAAATATAAATCTCTTTTCATGAATACGTTACTAAATTAAATATTTAAAAATAAATATTCAGCAGGCTCAAAACTCTATAAAAAAAAATTAAAATTAAATCAATAAAAATAAATAAACTAGAGCATATTAATTAAAAGGTAATAAATATAAATAATAAATTACAGAGATAGTACCTAATTATTTTCATACTGTTAAATAATTTTTAAATTTTTTACACAATATAAGTTTAATCATAATTCATAAATTCAAAATTTATATTAAAATGTTTAAAGAGTATAACCCACGCTCTTTTTCAGATGATATGTTTAAAAAGTTATGCGTATATCAAATTTACTAATAATAAGTTACTTTATTAAAGTTCATTAACATGGTGTTCACCGATAGTAACGCCCAACTTTCTTATATTCTTCATCAAAATTCCTTATTTATATTTTATTTTTTACAAATAAAGTTTTTAAAATATCAATGACTTTTTTTTAAATTTTTACTTTGATCCATTTTCTGAACGAGTTCTGATTTGACTGGCTTAGTTAAAAATTTATAAAATTGTAAAATTTAATATCTTATATAGGTTAGGAAAATTGATTGCAAGGTAGGTACTTCATACATTTTTCCTGTAATGACTCAAGAATATTAAAAATACATAGCCACTTTTTTTTTTTATTAGCGTTTAAACTTTTGTAGATAAAGTATTGACAAAATTGTACATTGATTTAATACATGGCAGATCGAATTTCCTAATTAAGTATACTTATTCATACTATTTAACAAGAAATATAATATAATTAACAATAGTAATAAATATTCAATTGTCAATTCAATGAAAATTGATAGAAAATTTTGTCGTTATAAATGAAAAAACGAAGGCCGTGTTTAACACAGTAATCGTCAACTATCGTAAAAATGTATTTACTATACAATTGTAATCTTGAACACTAAACCAAAGGTATTTAAGATTTGAAAATAAATTTTAAAAAAATCATTTCTATACACTATTTAAACAAATAAAAAAAAAAAAAATAAATAACTGAAAGTGAAAACCAATAAATAACAACACGTTAATACATTGGTATCCATAGAAGTAAATACCGATATTTAAATAAATACAAGCCTTTAGTTAATACCTATATAAAAATTAAATACTATAAAAATATTAGGTAGCAGATACCCATTGAATCAGCAACGAAAATAAGTATAAATGTTAATACTTATAAATAAAAATATCAATTGATTGTCCATTGGAATAGGTATAAGGCTTTAAGACTGATGATAAAATGAGCGACTAATATTCAATATTTTAGAGTGGTGTGATACTGTATTGATTTTACATTTTTTACAGTGATGTGTGTTTTTTGTGACTATATACACAATAAGTAATCAATAAAAATTAAAAAATGTTTCGAATTTTCACTTTAAGGGTGCGGTTTTGGATAGTAAATTGATTTTAGCTTATATCTTAAAGAGATTAGATTTAGAAATTTATACTTCTTTTTATAAATGGAAAAACAAACAAAAAATTTTAAAAAAACTGGAATTTTTATGCAAATCCAATATTATTATTAAAATAATTGTATTGTAATATTATGGTTACCAACATTTAAACAATCTTCGCACAGAATCGTTTTTCATCGCATACAATGAGTTATAATCAAATTCAAATTCAATTAAATCCATTATAATGATTTACTCAATAACGAGTTCCACTCGACACCTGATATACAGCAGAGCGAAATTTACTTGACTAATTAAAAATATTATAATTATTTTTACAACGAAAAATAAAAAATATACTTTCATGGAAACCTGGGGTCCGTAACCTGCAGCTCGTTTTAAATCCAGCTCTGAACTAGTGTGTTGCAATATATTGAAAATGTATAATATTATGTATAGCACGAATAATGTAACCTTAAACGCGTTAAAATTTCCCTGAAAAGCGTTAATAACTCTTCCCCGCCGTAAAGTTTATAATAATATGACTAATGCAAAAGTGAGCGGAGTGCGTTTGCGAGCCCCATTAAATTGGTGGTACTAGCACACTCAAATAATCAATATTATTGTTTCGGGAGAATGAGGTGTAGAGGCTAAGAATAAATGTAATACCATTCTATTAAATACGTGATGGCGATGGCGATGACGGACGGCTCTACTCGAGCTCGCGCAATCGGTCACGCAGCGGCGGCGGCGGCGACCGGGCCGTCGATCGCTCGAGCTCTCTCGGTCTGTCGGTCGGTAACGGTCCTATAGAAGAGCGGGAGGGGGCGAGGTAGAGACGAGACCACCGCCGATAAGCAGTAGCACCGAAAAGAATTCTGTAAGCTTTACACCAGCGGAGGGATCTGGAAGCTCGTTCGTGTGCGCACGCGCCCTTGGCCTGACGACGTCCGATCGCGCACGGTCCGTCGCCACTCGACAGTTGTTCCATTTTTATCGTTATCATCAATATTATAATAATTATTACGAATGAATTTATTTTCTCTTCACGCACCACAGTCCACAAAAACTACAGACTCGCCAGTGCTGTTGTACGCCAAAATTCAAAAAATCGAGCCTATAAATATTATTATTCCGTAACCATTATACGCTCTCGTACCAGTCGTTATCGTCGGGACGTCGACCGTCGTCATGTGCTTGACTCACCGGGCCTAGCTGGTGTGCGTGTCTGCGCGCGCGCGCGTGCGTGTTGGGGTGCGCGTGCGCGGGTCCGTTGCATGTGTGTATCGCGTACCGATATTATTAACATAATAATATAATCACGATCACAATCATCAAACCATAATCATAATCGTAATCATAATGGTCATGTGTATATTATATTTACATAAATTTAACCGCGTTTAACGACATCTATACTCGAACGTGTAAAGTTGTCGTTACACGATCTATACACCTACTTAGTAGTATAATAGAGTAGTTAGTAGTTACCTACATGTTTACGCGGAAAGTTATTATTATTATTATTATTATTATTATATTTTAATACATACCGTTCGTTTAACGGTTAAATCGAAGTTTAGGCAATTAGGCGACTTTCTTCTATTATATCTCACGTAAGCACGTATTATATTGTACGTCGACGACGGCAACGACGACGACGACGACGACGACGCCGCCGCCGCCGCCGCACACATCGAAGAGAGACGCGTCTCACTTTTGACGCACTCTCTCCGTCGCTCGCTAACTCTCGGACGCCCGGACGTCTTGTCGTCTCTCCCGCTCACACGTCTTATTCTACTTGCGCTGTCACTGTCTCTTTTTTTCTATTTGTTTTTCTTCGTTTCGTATTTTCCGTTTTTTTTTTTTCGTTTGATAGTCGACCGAAAATGCGTTTGCCGACAGTTGATCCTGTAGTTCGCCGTGCCGGTACTTGTGCGTTTGGAAAATGCAACTGAACTTGGGCGGTTCTCGACGGACTGCAAGTTGCGAGTCAACGATTATAATTCATAATATTATTTTAGTCTATCAGCTGTTTTGGCTGTACTTAACAATATATTTTTACATGGTAGGTAACGATTGCTATTATTTTTGTCTATACCTCATTCCATATTTATCACTCAATAACCGCGGAATCCCGAACTTTTAACTCCTCGCCTCAAGAAGATTCGACCGTAATGCTCGGCAATATCCATCCCACAAATTTATCATATTATATTTAACAGCACTATTTTTGTGTACCTCTATTAAACTTCTTGTAAAAAAAAAAAAAAATATTACTTTTTATCTAGGTACTTGACTAACAAGAATTCCAACTTTTAATAAAAAAATATTTTATAAAATAGGAATACCTACTTATTACTTATTTTTATTCTATCTAAAAATTATGGATTGCAGTTAGGTAGGTCTATTAAATATATTTATGAATGTTGTTTTACAAGTATTTCTAATGATTTATTACAGAAATACAATAATAAAGATATATTTATGATCCGATGTACCTGCTAGGGTATTTTTATTATATTTATGACCTAATGTAAAAAAAAAAAAATAAATGAGTATTATTCTGGTTATTTATTTACTACTTAATACTTAAAAGTTATCAGTACTTATAAAATAGTGTTGATTATTTTATTTTTTTATGTGTAGGTATTTACTATTTAAAATTCTGTTACTCTCTGTAATTCTTCTGATATCATCTATCTGATAATGATAAAAAATATTTTTATAAGAATTAATTTTAGATTTTATTATAATGTAATATTACATATTTATAGATGAAAATAATTTTTAATTGCTATTGCAGGGTTCATAAACAAACTAATAATATTAATAATAAATGTGTAAGATTAGTGCAGAGTTACATAAATAATCACTTTACATTTTTTGGAAATTTAATTAATCAATTTGTCATGCAACCTGATAAAAAATATTAAAAATATTTAGATTAATATAAGAAAATACATACAGTCAATATTCTAAATATTTTGAAACTATAATTGTCATTGTTTTGTTGTTTGAGACAGTCGCTCTTGTGCTATCAGTCTTGCAAAAAAAGTTTTATCCCAATAAAATCAGTAGCAAATTTCTTAGATTAACCATGCTAACTTGAATTTTTTTTTCAAAACATTTTTTACATACCTACTTATGTTTCAATATCAATAATAAATTAACAATTAACGAATGTTAATTAATATAGCTCAACTAACTTTTTAATTTTGATTTCATTTCAGAATTTATTGTTTTAGTTTTCACTTATTTTATTTGTTTACTGAAAACAAAAAAACAACTAGTCAAAAAATCTATAAAGAATAATAATTATCAATATGATGCAAAACGGAATGGATTCATTACCACATAATGGTTCAATACATACATCAAGTACAAATTCTCATGCATCACAAGGAAATTCTTTAAATGAAGAAAGTAAAACCAACCTTATTGTAAATTACTTACCTCAAACAATGACTCAAGAAGAAATTAGATCACTTTTTTCTTCAATTGGAGAAGTTGAAAGTTGTAAGCTTATTAGAGATAAAGTCACAGGTAAGCTATTATATTTATATTTATATTTTTTCAAATGGTAATTTGTAGTAGTATAAAATATTTAACATTGTTATGATTATGATTATGATTAACTTCTATGAATACGTACTTAAAAGAAAATTTACTTAGTCAGATATAAAATGCTATAGTAGTGTAGAAAATAATTGTATAAATGAAATAGTTTTAATATTTTTTATTAGGAATTTTAATAAATGTAAAGTAGATGGTCTTAATTTTATTAATTCTTATGTAGTATAAATCTGTGTAAATTTATTTGTTAAACAACACTACTCGTTGAATTATATCTAAAATATTGATAACTGAAAACATAAACATTTGAAAAATTTTAAAATAAAATTACCCAAAACATTCATTATTTATTAGTTTATTTTCTTTTATAAAATGTAGAATTTTTTTGTAAAAACATTCTTTTAAAATTTTGTTTATTATATGAGTACAGATAATTTTTGAATTATGATTAACTATATAATGTAGGTATAATATTATTTAATAATTGTAAAATAATAATATTATAATATGTAAAATGTAGAATTTATAAATAAAAAAAGCTTATCTATGTATTATAAATGAGTAGGTATTTTAAGAATATCTATTCCACATAGGTATACAGAAAAACAGTTTGATTATAAAATATTATTATTAATACCTAAATTTATACATATAAATTTTAAATTGAAAAAAAATACTTGAAAATGCTCTAAAAATATTCATTAAACTAAACACAAGAACAGTCGATATTTAATAAAAATTATTTAAAAAAATGTATGTATGCTTATATGTATGTATGTATGTAATATGTTGTTAAAGTATAAGTCTTGTCTATTAAATTAAATATACCTACAAAAATAATATAATTAATTTTAACAAAAATATATGTCAATGTTCTAAATATAACAAAATATTATTTTCAAAATAAATAATCTTGATATTAATATTTTTATTATGTTTTTTTGTATATTATAAAATGTCACTATAGTACGTCTATTTATAGTGATAGGTAGGTATCTCCAGTTTGCATCGTTTTTGTAACAATGCCTATAATTGTTCAGTTACTATAATAATTATATGCTTAGATTAAATTAATTACTTGTTTTTAAGAGTTAGATTGATTTGATTTTTGCCAAATCCTCCTTCAAATTTAAATTATTATTAAAAAATGTTGGAATAAAATGTGAATCATAATAAGTACTTTTTTTTGTTAATTTAAAGTCAATTCCTATAGCAATGTCCCTTAAACATTTTTTTATCATATTGTACCTGATGGAGATTTATTTAAATGTTTTTGCTTTATGAAGTTTATTCATTCAAACTTTCATAATATTTCATAATTACTACTAAATAGAATGTTTAAAAAATAAAAAAATAAATTTTATTATTGAATATTTTATTTTATTTTTTGCAGAACAATTAAATTATTGTTAGTTTTAAGGGCGTGTCCCATGATGTACCTATGTGTGAATTATTTGTATTTTAAATTAATATATTCCCTGGTTAATAATAATTTAATTTTAAATATGTATTACTTTTTATGAATATAATCAAATTTAAAATATATTTAAAACCTTTCTCAATTAAAATGATATACAACTACTAATTTATTTTTATAATTTAATAAAATAATTGTAATTAGTCTTATTAGGTAGTGTAGAATAAAAATATATTAACAAATTTTAGAAGGATTTTTTAATTTAATTTTGACCATTGAATTTATTATGAAAATGATTAAAATTATTGATATTTATTATTTGGTATTGAACTTACCGTTAAAATAATTTTTCAACTTTTAATTAAATCAAATTTATACACACTAAAATTAAATTTACAAAATAATTATTTACAAGAGGAATATGGTTACATAACAATTTATATTTATGATTTTAAAATTTTTCATTTATTTTAAATAAACAACACTTAAAAATATTTCATTTATAGAAAGAGCATTTATGTAATGGCATTTTAAAAATATAGGTACTTATAACATGTTTTTATTTTTATTTTTATTTTTTCATGCTTTTTCACAACAGGATCTCTTCCATCAGGTACTGTAATTTAAAGCCTTGTTAGTTCTTAATATGGCAATTTTTAATTTAAAACTAGGATGTATAATTTTACTTTATTTAAAAATGTATTATTTTTGTATACTTATGCCCAAACTAGTTTGTAATAAAATAATTACTTAGTTCTCAAAAATAATATATACTCGACCGAATAATATATTTGTACTGTAAAGTAGGTATTTGAGACCAAAAATATAAATTAAAAATATTATTTTTATATATGTTTTCCCAGTATAAATTCGCTATCAAACCTGTTTTATAATTTTTTTGACTCAATCTCTAAGCTGGGTTTAATTTCTTCTATTATGTAATTTTTTGTAAATCTGTTTATTTAATTATATTTTTTTTTTTGTGGGTGAGGGGGGAGTGATGAGGATTAATTAGTACAATTAAAGTTTCATATAGCCTCTCTATAGATTAGAAATTGGATACAGATGGTACTTTAGAGAGGACGTTTTGAAATTTGTCATAAGCTTATAAAAAAAATTTAATTAATTTCTATTTAGTAAAATAAAATTATAGCATATTTTTTTAATACATAATTGTATATTTAATTTAATATTATAACTTTAAAAAATTATTGACCTTTTTAATTTCAATTAATATTTAAAATTAGACATTTTTATTAAATCTAATCATTAAATATAAATTTAATCATATGATATTACCATCATTTAAAAAAAAATATATCCATATTAACGTTCACTTTAGTATTATTATTAAATTTATAATCAATTTCAATAAACTATTCATAATAATTTGTTAAAAGTAACTGATACTTATTGAAATAAAAATTAATGAAAAGATATATGTCTATACAACATAAAACTATTTTTTATTTATCTTTAATAACACTTAATTTTATATTGATGTATAATACCAATTATAGATATCAACATGAAATCATGTAACATACATACATATAGGTGCATACATACCTATATAGTTAATTATTCAATATGTTAATTTAATACATGATTGTTTAACTATTTTATTTATATTTATTATACTAGGTCATTTTTACTACTAGTGATTTATGTACATACATTAATTGTTCTATTACTTTTGGTTTTATAGGTCAAAGTTTGGGTTATGGTTTTGTTAACTATCATCGACCAGAAGATGCAGAAAAAGCAATTAATACTTTAAATGGACTAAGACTACAAAATAAAACAATTAAGGTATAATTCATTTTATACTTATTCATGATATTGGTTGATCAATGCCCTAGTAATTAATTGTAATAAAAAACAATTTAAGGTATCTTTTGCAAGACCTAGTAGTGAAGCAATTAAAGGGGCTAATTTATATGTCAGCGGTCTTCCAAAACATATGACTCAACAAGACCTTGAAAATTTATTTAGTCCATATGGTCGGATAATAACATCAAGAATTTTATGTGATAATATGACTGATGAGTTTAGTTTTATATTTTTATTATTTTATTGTCAGCCTTAAAATATTCTAATGGAAGAAATATGACTGATATGTTCACAGTTCGACAATTTGTGGGAAATACTGGAGGAGATCATTCGCCGTGTAAGTTATTGATTTTAATAATAATAATTATATCATGATAAATATTTATTCATAAATAAAATCATCTAGTTTTTAACTAATTAAACAAATTTTGAATATTCATAATCAGATTTAAATTTAAGTTAAAGAAATCTGAAATAAATATAATTTTATACTCTTGGTAAAATTGTTTTGTATTTAAAGTTAGATTTTAATAAAAATTTATATTTATTATTATTTAACAAATTATGAACTTATTATTTCACAAATATTTATTAAAATATCAATATAAATTTTTTTTAACAATACGCTAAAAGTATCTAAAATATGTCTAAATTAGTTCTAATTAGTAGTTAGTATACACAATAAAATATTGAAATATTTATATTACTAAATTATTATTTGTATAATAGTACATTAGTTCTTAACTTATTGTAAATCACAAACCCTGATCAAAGATTTTTAGAATTCACAGACCCCCTTGCTAGTTTTTTTCCAAATACCTTTATTTTACAATATGTTGCGTATTGATGTATGTTATGTGTTAAGCTGCCGCAGACCCCCAGGGGGCTGCAGACCACGGGTTAAATGAGTTTTAATATATGTATTAAAAAAAAATTAACAAGTTATTATTTTGTATGACAACTTAATATATAAGTGGTCAAATGTGTTAAACATTTTATTTACTACAATTTCTTTTTAGCAATTTCAAAAGGTGTTGGTTTTATAAGATTTGATCAAAGAATTGAAGCCGAACGAGCAATTCAAGAATTAAATGGAACTGTTCCCAAAGGTTCAACAGAATCAATTACTGTGAAGTTTGCCAACAATCCTAGTAGCAATAAAGCAGTACCTGCATTAGCAGCTTATTTAACTCCTCAAGGAGCTCGAAGGTTTGCTGCTGGCCCTATTCATCACCCTACTGGGCGCTTCAGGTATATTCCACTCTCCCCTTTATCCAGGTATGACCATTTCTTCTCTTCATTTGTTTTACAGTGATATTATTAGAATCAATTCATTAACAATTCATTTCAAATGTACCATTTTTCAATAAAATTACTATTAAAGAAATTTAAATAATAATTTGGTTAGATAAAACGAAAAATATATTACGTTAAATATACATTTACTACAATAATATACCAAAAATATGAAACGCTTAAATTATAATTTGATCAAAAAAATAAATGTTAATGATAAAATATAATAAAAAAAATTTACCAATTAAAAATGTAATTTTTAAATTAGTATTTATTGATTATGGGGAAATTAATTAATAAAACTTAGCAGATAAAATGTTAGGTTTTTCAAATAATATATTTAATATTCATTTAAATATTTTAGTGAAGGATTTAAGTATTATATTGTAATTTTTTTATTTGTTTAATCTGCTTATCAAAAATTGGTTAATTATTCTTTTTTTAATGAAAATTCAAGTGCTTTTGTTCACTTAACAAATTTATTTAGTAATATTTTTTGAATACTTTTTATTTATATTACTTTACAGGCATATGTCTAAATAACAATATTTAAATTCTAAGTAGAATTTTTTTAATTTCATATTTAAAATTTATTAAGTAAAATTTATAATTAATATTTTTAAACATCGAAAAAAAAGTTTTCAAACATTTTCTTAATTTAATTTTGATATGTTAAATATATAATGAGCGTATAATAATTTTTAATCAATGTTGAGTAAAAAATTTAAAATAAATCATGATTTCATACTTACTTATATGTATTCTTTATAAAAATGTTATTTCAATGTTTTAAAAATAAATTTATACCCAAGTATGATTTTATTGAACTATTCATCATAACTAATTACTGTAATAAACCAATTTAATATTTTAAAGTTATAAAAGACATAATACATAGAGATACACGGTATCACGAGGTATCCACAGTTTTATCTATAATTGATGATAAATTAAAATCTGTTGTAAAATAATCTTATAATGTTCTTCAATAATATTGATGTTCAATTAAAAATAAAATAAAATTCTTTTTTTTTTTTTATGAAAAAAAAAAAAAAATGATTTCTATAATTATTTTAACTATTTAACCTGACTAAATAATATTGCATTTATTTGATAATTTTGACAATATAATTAGTAATATATTAGATAATATCATATTTAAATTTTATATTCTCAAGTGAAGAATCGGTATATTTTAATAATACACTAAATTTTACTTACAATATAATATATTATTTTAACGCATGTCTGAAATACTAACATTATGTTTTCAATTGCTAACTGTGACTGTATACTGAACCTCTAGGCTCTAATTATATGTTAATTCATATATTATGACTTATGTCTTTTAACTGCTTATTTAACAAAAGTAAAATAATGTATTCCTGTAAAATGATTCTCATATTTTATAATAATTAATACATTTTACATTTTAATTTAATGTATAAATCATCCACCCTTCATTTATTTTAACTTAATATTATTTACGTAATTATATTATTATTAAAGAACCAACATTTTCCTGATTATTTAAATTTTTATTAATTAGTGATTACAGTATTTTTTAAATTTGTTATTCTTTAATATCATTCAAGTTTTAGTATATACTTTTATTTTGTCTTTTGTTTTGATTTTTTTTTTTATATTACAAAGTGTGGCAGCTTATAAATAGTGTTGTTTTACAATTTTATTTTATTTGATTGCACATTATACTATTCTATATCTACCAATATATTAATGTACATATCATAAAATTAATTTTTAGTAACTCAAGTGTTGATAATGTTGTAATGTTCTTTAATTTTATAAAAATATATAATTTAAATTGAATAAATAAATATTTTTAAAACATTCTTGTTTATCAAACGAGAAGTATTAAACTACACTTGCTTAAGTATACTTTGAGTTTATAGTTATAATTATTTCCAATATAAAAATTGGATTTATGTCATTGTTTAATACAATAGCAACTACCAAATTAAATTATTTAAAAATTATAATTGATTTTTTTTCATTAAATTTGTACCTAAGTTCAGTATTTAGATAATTCACTGCTTTAATGTAATTAATACATATTAGTTAAATATTTACTGAAAATCCTATTTTTATGTGTACATACATTTTATTACGTGATTAGTGCATAAATAAAATAATATTATTCTGCTGGTATTTAATGAATATCATTTTTTTAGTTTCATATTTTTATATCATGTATGTATTTATTTTATTCTTCAATTACTTTTAAATCTACAAACTTAAAGAACATTACAGCAAAGTATTAGGGCTAGGAGGATTCAGTTCCAGTTGTGTGATAGTTAAATAAATATTTCTTCTTAAATTAATCTATTTAGCATTGAAATTATGTGTATCATTTGAATATTTATGAAGTGGGATTATAATTCAATTCTATTAAATTTACCATTTTCAAGCATAAATTAAATTTGTTATTTAAATAAACATTTACCATGTATTTTTAATAAAATAACTAACTGTTGTTTACTCTTACTCCAAAAATTCCTTTACGGATGATGGTCAAAATTATATTTAAATTCATTATTGACATTATTCATAAATGATTTTAAAAATAAAATTAAAAAAAAAAAAAAAATTAAAATCTGACTTAAAACTCAATAACCCAATCAATGGAGAGGAGAAATTGTCCATACCATTCCTGGATCTGTAGCAAAGTGTAATTAATAACCAACGGATTGATGTATCACGAGATGGCATAGGTAATATATTTCCAATTATTTGTATTAAGTGCTAGTAAGCACACACAATTGCTGGTAGGCAGACATTATTTAAATTTGACACAATTACTTTTGTTAAGCACATAGAACATGTGAAACAAGCTTATGTTCATATCTGAAAGAGGGGGTATATAGTATTTTCCATTGATATGCATGTGATTATTGGCTTCTAAAGAAAAAGAAATTTTTATTTTTATCTTAAGATTCATTTTTTTAAGCTGCTATTTATTTATATTTGAATAAATAATTTGTGTTATAAATTATTATTTCTTTGTATATTAAATATGTGAAAGATTGAGTTTGATTTATATATTGTTAACATTTATATAAATGAAGTTTTATTTGCTTCATTTATAGATTTTTTTTTTTTAAATCAATAATAATATTCTTAAATATATATTAAATTACATGAAATAGGATTATTTAATCAAGTATAATAGTTTGTTAATCAATTTTTAAGAACATATTTTGTATTATTTTCTATAGATAAATAACATTTTAACAATATGCTATCAAGAAGATTTGTATCTACCTCCTTTTTTTTTTGTTGCATCAAATAATTGTTTAGAGAACAATTCACAATTTATTTTTTTTTGTAACTTAAATTTTTTTTAAAGCTGCCGCTCGTTGTACAATTTATTTCATATAGATTTTATTGTTTTATAAATATATAAAAAAATATTTATTTATTTTATTTTATTTTGTTTTAGCACTGGAAAAACCATGCTTGCCATAAACAAAGGCTTACAAAGGTCAGTGTAGTTTCTTAAATAATACTTTTAAACATAAAGATAAATATAATTAAAAGATAATTGTGTGTATATGTTAATGTAGGTCCATATATTTAAAACAAATAAATAATATTTTCATAATTTAGAAAGTAGTGTAATAAGAAGCTTATTATTAAATTATTATTAAAACCATATTGGTGAAGATTTTCAAACAAACTGTATTATGATATTTTGACTGAGATTTTTTAAAAATTTTAGATTCTTAGTGGAATAAAGTATTGATTTTACAATAATTAATTGTTGAATTAAATTTATTTTTCTATTTTTCATCAACTTTTAGAGCAGTAAAAATGCTTCATTTTTCAATTAAAAAATTATTTACAGTAACTAATTGGATATAGTTTTAATTTAAAAATTCCCTAAATTTACTAATAATCAAGAAAAACTATAAATTATAATAACTAAAAACAAAAATATTTATGCAATTTTTTTTAAAATATAATGTTGATAGAAAGTGTCATACTTTATCAAAAAGTTTTAAAATATAATCTAAGGTTCCTCATTAGTTAAAAAAAATATTGATTATATTCATTCAAAATTGTCAAAGTTAAAAACTTAAGTTAAAATGTATAAAATATTTAGTTCTAATACGTAAGGCTTGAAAATGCAGTTGAAATTTTTATTTAATAAAATATTAAGAGGATTTTTCACCTATATGTGTTATATCTATGCTTCTAACACATAACTTAGCATTAAGAAGAATCCTTTTTACTATATTATTTTTAATTTTAGAATAAATTAACTTATTATTAAATATAACCCTTAACTACACATGTTATTTATTTTCAATAATTATTAGTGCAGTGTTGTAGTTAGATATATAAAATATACATGTAGTTAAGAATTAAAGATAAGAATATTATTTAGGTATCATTTATAGGTTAATTTACTCTAATATAAAAAAATTATATGGCAAAATTGATTTTTTTAGCATAAAATTGTCTATGTTATGTGTTAGTAAAACATATAACACATGCAGGTAAAAATCCTCTTCATCATAGAAATTTTAAATATTTCAATTTTACTTAAATTTTTGTTTTAAATACACATTGAATTTTTAAAATTCAAATTTGTTAATTCTTAAGAATTAAAATTAAATATTAATCTATATTTAAATGTCAAATAAACAATTATAAGTGCTATTAAACTTTTTTTTTATAGCTCTTAGATCAAAAATATGTTTAAATTAAAAAGCCTAGGGAGATGGGTTTTAATATAAACAAGTATAAGATTTTTAATAACTTTTTATCAAAACAGTTTTCGCATTGTATCAGTTATTTAATTGAGTTCAATAGTTTTCATTTTAAATAGAAAATTATTTGACTGTTTAATTAAATGCAATAATTTAATTTTAGATATTCGCCATTAGCGGGTGATCTGTTAGCAAACTCTATGTTACCTGGTAATTCAATGAATGGATCTGGCTGGTGTATATTCGTGTATAACTTGGCACCAGAAACAGAGGAAAATGTATTGTGGCAACTATTTGGTCCATTTGGTGCTGTTCAAAGTGTAAAAGTTATTAGAGATTTACAAACAAACAAATGCAAAGGATTTGGATTTGTCACTATGACTAATTATGATGAAGCAGTTGTTGCCATTCAATCTCTTAATGGATATACGTTAGGCAACCGCGTACTTCAAGTATCTTTCAAAACCAATAAAGGTAAAAATGATATTAGCGATTTAGAATATTTATTTCGAAAAAAAATTTAAAATAAATGAAAATAAATTGTTGATGTATCGATGGTAAAGTGTTAAAAACAGTTATATATAATAAATTAATACGCAATCTTATTATAATAATTTACATGTTATAATTTTTAGGCAAAGGAGATGCATCCAGTTTGTTAATGTCTCTTGCTGATTCATTAACTGACTGTTAATAATTTCATCAATCTTCTTCGAATATTTTCAAATGTTTACATAATTCATTCTCCCTTCTAATACATCTTTAACTGAATTGCAAATTCGCTGATATTTATCATGTCTAAAGAAGGTAAATTATGTTTATTTATTAATTATATTTTTAATTAGATACATTTAAATTAAATCGCGTGCACCATAATAACGTTATCAAAATAAACACTTTTCAATGCATATTATAAATAATATACAAATTATAATTTTTTTTTTCCTGAAAAAAAAAAATAATGTTAATATTTCCTAAAACATTTTGTTAATGTTTGTGCAATATAATTATTATTGGTACCCATCTTATATAAAAAATTTCCCATTTTTCCTTTACTATACTTTTGGAACAGATTTAAATAATAATTGCGCAAGCATATTGACTGATAGTGTTCTGTTCTATTTAACGTTGCTAGTCTAAGATATTCCTAATATTTTATATTTTAAATTTAAATTCGTAAATAATTTATAATATTTTCTTTTTCTTTTGTTGCTATTATTCCATTTATATGTGTGCGTGTATTATGTGTGTACATAACAATGTAAGTGTGTTTATATTAAATATAAATTCATTCGTGTTTACTATATATCTAGGTAAATATCATATTTACCAATTTACATAAAATGTCCACGAGAAGCTATTTGTAAGTCAATGTAATATTTTTACTTTTTTACTCGTTCTATTAATGCCGTTAGGTACAAGAAAAAACAATACATTTTATGTACTTAATAATAAATAATCTTATCTTCCCCCTCCACCTCCAATAAAAGACAATTTCTGATACAATTTCATATTTTTTCAACTTATTTTATTGTTAAATATTTTTGAGTGAAAGTTGTTACCAACAGTTGAGAATATATCAATGTAATAATTAAAAACTATTATTCATAGAAAACTTGTTCATTTTGCATTTATTAATAATTCTGAAAGAATCCAGTCAATTTCTATAACGTACCTATGTAATATTAAGAACATATTTGTTTGTTTTTTTTGTTGCTTGTACGCAGTTGTGCTAGTACATAATCAAATTATTTGATTTGTTTTTACTTGCACACAAACCGGTGTGATTATTGATCTCAATGAACAGTACTCTACACTGTTTAAAAACAATAACGTATAAATCTAATTAGTACTGATTGTAGTACATAATGTTATAACAGGTGGACTTATTGGAGATTATTTAACAAAAGTTAATAATTTAATTTAAAACCACAGGGTAATTTTAAGAAAGGCAAGTTTAATACGAAACAAATTTCCATCTGTAAAAACTGGATATTTTTAATGCTATATTTATTTAATACAAATCCTAAGTATTGTAATTTTAATCACAAATAATATTTGTATATTATTCACTATTTAAATAAGAGTGCATCATTTTAACTTTAAAAACATTGCTTATTTTACTATCAAGTTGGAGCTATAAATTTTACAGTTCTATTAATTACAGTGTTAAAATATTCAAACTAAATTATTCATAAACTAAAATTAATTTAAAAAAATTACTAATAACACACTTAATTTATTCATAAATCAGTGAATCATTTTAGAAAAAATGCTTTTAAAATTGTTATTGTTATCTTCTAAATCTTCTGTAAGTCCACCAAGTTTCTTCAGTCACCATTTTCAATTTCTGCTTTTTAACTGTATTTAATTAATTTAAAGTCTTTTTAGTATTATCTTCCGTGTAGTTATAATTTAAAACACCAGTACCTGATTATGCCAGCTGAATTGAATTTTTAGATTGAATTATTGATCTAATTAATTTTTCCTTCATAATTTAACATTCCAGCATGGTGTTTGATAGTAAAAATATTATAATATACACGGATAACAAAAATAAAAGTTCATAAGTTTTTTATTTTATCAGCTATAATAAAAACGTATGGAATAAGAAAAGACTTAAATATAAATAATATAACGAGAAAGAGACTGAAATTAGTTATCAGTATACAAGTTAGGAAAAGTACGTAAAAATGTTAAAGTTATAAATCGTAGTATTAATATTAACCATGACATTATTTATTAAAAAGTTTCTGGTTCCTTTAAAAAAAAAACTTTCTCTATTATAATCTGGAAATATTCGTGTATCATTAATTCAACCGTTTTAGATTAGTGTCTTATGTACATAATGTCCTATCAGTTAAATTATCTAATTATGATTGTAGAAATGTAATAGGTGTATTTATTAATAAATTTAAAAAAATCAAGTACATATTTTAATTAACAATTTTAAAAATGTTGGTTAGGTTCAAAAAAAATTTACTTCTTTATATTTATTAATTTCTGCACACAAAAATGAATAGATAGTTATTCAAATATTCATTTAAGTTTATCAAATGTCTGTATTGCAATAGTATATTCTGTAAGATATTAATTACAATTTAAATTTAAATTTTCAAAATTAATGTTACAAGTAAAAATGCTTTTGGTAAAATATAAAATAATGTTTGGTACACCTATACATATAGAAAATAATATTTATAAATTTCTTAGATATATTTTTTTTTCACTTACTTACCAATGTTTTTACAAGATTCTAGTCAATAGATAAGCATTTTTTAACTAATCTTAGTAAGTTTAAAAAAATAAAAACGCAATTTAGTGAAATGTATTCAAATTGGAGCAGATAAAAATTGTTTTTTGTAATATAGATATTTCATCGAAAATTAGTTCTGCATGTAATTAAATTTACAAATATTGGAATAAGATTGATTATTAATTATTTTCTGTTGAGTAAAATTAAAAAAAGTTTAGTGCTCAAATTAAATTCTTTCCTAAACATTTTTTTGATCATAATTACCGAATTGCCGAATCTATTTTTATATTCGACGCTCAATCGATTCGGTTGAATATTCTCTGGCTATTGATGTACCTATATGATTAACATTGATGTAATTGTTTTTTCTTGAATTTATAATGTGCAGTGCGTGAACATCAAAATTAGTATTTGTAAAAATATCAAATTAAATAAATCACTCATAATTAATTAACATTTCCTGTAGACTTTAAACATATTGAGCTATTTATTTAACTTTATGTTTAATGGATAGATGTTAATGTTTTCCATTTGCTGTTGGTCTTGCTTAATTATCAATTCATAAAAAGATGTATCTTCACAGTTATGCAGTATATACATTTATACTCAAATGTAGAAGTAAATAAACATTTCTATTTCCGATACAATGAGCGTGTAATGTGCACACTAATTTCTTATTTTCAAAATATCATAAATATTAAAAAGTCAATCAAAAAAGCAATTTTGCTTAATTTACTCTAGTCATATGTGTATATCTGTACTTATTTTTTTGTTTTCGGTGCTAAATTATTCAAATATATCGTACATATTTTTTCTTTTATTAATTTAGTTTTATTTCGGTCAAGGAAACAGACCACTCGATATTTTTGCGTGATTTTAGTTAGTAATTTAATATTTATGAATTATGAATATACCCCAAGTATTTTATTGTACTTCAAAAGAAATAAGACAAAAGTTTTAGACATGTAAAGTAATAGATTAATTAGAAAATTTAATTGTTTACAGTCATAGTCATAATAGTTCGTTACCATATATTAGCCGTGCAATAGATCGATCAGGTTAAGTTTTAATTAATTTACTACATACTATATTATACATATTGGCATTTATAATTTACTCTTTATTAAAATATTATATTATTAGAATTTATTGGTAAGTATTTGGATATTAAACTGAGTGAGAGTGTAATCAATATTTATGAATAATAAAAATAACAATTTGGCTCATTATAAAATTCCGCTGTACCATAATATTTCCAGTTTAAGATTTAAAAAAAAAAAAAAATAATAATAATAATAATAATAATAATAATATTAACTATAAAATAAATTAAGTATAATAAAAGTATTAAAAATATCCAGTTTTCCTACTGATGTCACCACTGACGTAACTACCTACCTAATAAAATATAATGTATTTGTATTTGAACATCTCTCAGAAATTACTCAAAAATAATACTTCTTGTTATTAATATTTAATTTTATTAGTAAAATAAAGAACAACATTAAATCATCTAATAATACGTTGGTAGAAGTTAAATATTATTAATTTGAAATAAAAAATAAAAAAAAATTTGCAAGTTACTATAAGGATAAGTAATAAAAAAATTGCAAAGAAAATTAAACTTAACGTGTATAAATTTATACTAGTTTAAATAACGCACATTAATACTAATTATTTGTATTTGAGGTTTTTATTTGGAACTTTTAATATTTTATATTCGTTTTAATAAAATTCCGTAATAGAAATTCTGACGTGTTTTGTAGTATTTTTACATTAACTTTTCGATATATATATATACTTTAATATTCTTATTGGTCTTTAGATAAATTTTTTTAGTAAATAATTTTATCAATTTTATATAGATTCTTATGAAGTCATTATGTAATCAAGTAAATTATTTAGTAAACTTCTTTAAAAATAAAAAAACGAAAAAAAATTCGAAACTTAAAACATGGTTTGTATAAGAAATTCATATTTTATATGTCGGTATACTTATTGGAATTTACAGAATCTATTACTTTATATATTACATATAATACCTACATTTATTTTGGAATTCGTAATATATTTTTAAATATAAACAAATGGAAAAAATTTCTGGAACATCATACATAAAATAAGCAACAAAATAATAATAATAATAATAATAAAGTTACGTATTTTTTTACATAACTAATATAAATATTATAAAGTAATAATAAAGTGTGGTTTTTCTGTTAACCACTTCGAATACTATAATGCAGTCTTTCCAATTATCAGATTTTAAGCAGGGTTTTAGATTTTTTACTATAGGGTTGAAAATTTGCATTAAATTTCCTGATACAAAAAAAAAAAAAATGATTTCAGTACCAAAACCCGCTATAATTTCATCAGTGTCGGGACATTGTTCTTCTAAGGATCTGGATAGGAGTAAAAGGGTTGGTTTGGTCCATGTAATCTATATATATTATATATCTGAGTGTGATTCAATCTTGCATTTTAATATGTAAAAACATTAGTTATCGATTAAACCAATATTGTATATGTTTTTTTATTTTATAATATTCAG